GCCATCCATTCCCCCTGGGCTTTGGCACCACAAGGCAGCACCCCAGCAAGGCAGCCTTTTTGCTCTCCATGCAGGGGATGGCATCCAGGGGACAAGGTGAGGGTCATTTGGCTCCATATAAACACCCAGGGCACGGGAAGTCTGAGCTGAGCACTCAGATGACTTAAATTGGTGTGTCTACAACAAAAATCTGAACAAAGAGCAGAAGTGTGTGGAGGGGGGAGGGAGGGTGTTGTTAAAATGCTGCTGTAACTTAAAAGAAAGTAAATGGTTACAGTGCTTTGCGCACTGCTATTTGCAGCATCATTAAACCTCCCCTGAATCCTTGCTATTGGAAACTAGATTTAGCCAGGGCCCATTATGAGCCCAGACAGCTGTACAAAATTGCCTGCTTTTTCCATATAATGATGCCTAAAATATTTAGATCTGGGTGCCTCAAATCAGGCACCTCCCTATTTACATTCCTAAATTAGAGTCCATTTGTTATTCATGACTTGCTTACCTGTGACAAATAGATTGGGTTGTTCATACAACCCATCTTGTCCTTTCTCAGAGGAATTTATTGTCATTAAATAGTCCTCATTTCCTTGCAGTGCACTGCACTTTCTGTAATGCAATCCATTCCAGAGGTTTTGACATTTCTACTTGTCTATCTCAAGTGGCACCTAAATATGAGAAAGACAGTAGCAAGATTTAGGAAGTCCTCCTAAATATCTATCCAAATTTAATAAATTGCTTTTCATGTTTCTATAAAAACTCAATATTGGAATCAGTATGTGGCGTTAGCAGAAGGTCAAGTTATGAGTTTGCTGAGGGATTACTTGCCTGCATCCAAAAAGCACAGTAAAGGACAAAAGCCCAAAAAGCATTTAAAAGTATGGAAAATATAATGCAAGTATTTAAAATTTATTTCGGAGATGAGGTCTCAGAATTTTTCTGGCTGATTTTTCCCTGTTACACTCATAGCAAAATTTGATCTGCTTAAGCCACTTTGCTGGCAACAACATTTTTGTTGTTCACCAATAATGACTAAGCTTTGAGGTAGGAATACATGTTTTTTGGAAGGGAAGATAGAATACATCTTCCATGGCTTCTGGTGCTCCCCACAGCCCTGTGTGTCCCAGAGAACTCAGGTGAGCCATGTTGGTGGTCATCTGGATGCCTTTCCTTCACACCAGTGTGGCTAAACAATGTACAGCTGGGGAGTGCATCTTTGGACCCTCTGAGAAGTGATGGAGGCTTTGCAGTAAGGGGTAGCTCTACAGTGCTGCTTCTGGGATCCGCAAATTCCCTCCTTTGTGTTTGGATAGAATAAAATCCTTCCTAAGCCTCAGTATTTCCTCCCTGACCTGTCATGTCTAATATTGAGACACAGGTGTGGTGATCATAAGGTCAGCATAAGCTCCTATTGCTAGGGGCTTCCCAGCTCTCTGCCAGGTACATCTCTCCCTCTCTGGGGGATGTCTGCATGAAGTCTGTTTTGCAGGACTGGGGAAGCCTTCCATCTCCTCCCAGATGACAACTGTGCCCAAATTTCCTCCTCCCCATCAGTCCCCATATTGCAACATCCATACCCAAATCTAGTATTTCTGATACAGTTGATGTAGGCAAGCTCAGCTTTATGAAGACTTATTGATGGTGTGACTGAGGTGCTGTAGTTTGTGTTTATGCTCCCAAAAAGTCCCAGAATTCCCCTTTCACTTACCTGTGAATTTCAACCACTTCCCAGGTAACTCTCACCTCAACCACCTGCAAAACCCAGGCATCCCTTGGGGCATCATCTGTGACTGGTGTCAGGTGCCTGTGCTGGTACCTGCCACACCCAGCACGTTCTCTGTTGTGCCCAGCAGTGTCCCCAGTGCTGTTCACTCAGCCCATCCTCTCTGGCCAGGACCGAGCTGGAACCCCATGGCTCCCGCAGCACTGCAGGGAGAGGGGCAGAGCCACTCCTCCTTCCAGCTGGGGCAGGGCAGCCAAGCTTAGGGTGGGAAGGAAAAAAGAGATCATATAAATCCAGAGAAGCACTGTTACTCCATAAAATGAATGGCACATTCCCTTCACTTGCAAAAGCTGACAACAGCAGTTTGCACAACAGGAGCAACTTCAGGCTGCAGCACAGGACCAAACACACGGGGTCCTTTCTCTTCTTGGTCAAGTACATGCTACTTTTCACACGGGAGGCTTGTTCTCCCCTCTTTGCAGCTACATGCTGCTGAAACAGAAGGTATGGGCTTGTAAATATTGTGTAATTGAATCTTACTCTGTGTACTGTATGCTGTCAGTGGCACTGCCTTTTCTCCCAGCCACACATCTTTCAGCACTTGCTGCTGTGATTCCACATTAATACTTCCGTCTGCTGCTGGAATGTGCACTCACATCAGCAGCTCCTTCCAGCAATAGCACTATTAAAAATAATGAAATGTCAGGTTGTGCTGCTGTGCATCTAGATCCATTATGGAAATGTGCTGCAGGACGATAGCAGCCTGAGTCCATCCTCCATTCGGCTTTCAGAGGGAAAGATTCAGAGAAAGACATTGATGGTTTTCAATAACCCCTGGGTTCCTGTCCATGGCTCACCTTTGCCTGAGCAGTGCTTCTCCCAAAAGATGTACAGGACAATGCTTTAGTGAAAGAGGTGCCAAACAAATCTTGATTTTCTTACAGTCCTTCTGTTGGTAGACAGAATCCCTTCTATTTTTATCCACCAGAAGTGTGTGAATTAAAATGAAATGAGAGGAGGTTGTAGGCTCTAGAAGGAGCAGACTGGCATAAGATTTCAGGAGATTGGGATAAACAGAACTAATAATATAGGAAATTACAATGTAATGGACACAGTACAGTCAGTTTTAAATACTGTTCACTATACTGCCAGACAGATCAATAATATTCTGTCATTACTGATTTCCACTGGAGATAGATGGAGTGCTGGGGAAGGAGCAACTAAATTATGTAGAAGATATGCAGGATATATTATGTAGAAGATATGCAAAGTGCATGAAGAGCCAGGCAACTGGAATTTCCATACAACATATGTGCTTGAATTCTCAAAACAGGCTAGCCTGATTGCACAAACAAGTTCATTTCCACCTATATTATTCCTCTCACTGGGAATTCTCCACCTGCTTCCTCTAAATAATCACAGGCTAAATGAGATGAGCCTAAAGGAATGCAGACCAGGCAAAGAAAACGCTGCTTGGTAGTGACGGGGTGTGAAATATCTCTGAATTACACACAGAAATGTTCTATCCATCCCATTTGATTTGAGCCCGTGCTGGTGTTACATGGAAAACAAACCTGGCTCTCCCTTTGTGATCCCACAGCCTCTCTTGAGACAAGGATGCCTGGGCCGTGTCATTTACCTGTGTGTTGTATTGAATACTCACAAGTGCACAGACACACACAGGTGGACAATAGGACCTAGCAACAGTATATGAAATATATAAATGGCAGATAAAGTTGTTTCTGAGCAATATGGGATTCCAGAGAGAACCATCTTCAGATGTTTTTGTAGCTTCAGGACCATGACCCCCTTACTGAATAGGGCTGACCCACTGCCCATTCAGTATTTCTGTGTGTGTAGAAGCAAAACATCAGAGCTGCATTGCCCTGCCTACACACTCTCTGTATTCCCCAGCCACAGCCATGAGTAAAACAGACTGATCACATGAGGGCCATGAGAAGGAAGCAAAGCTGTCAACTTGTCAGAGATTTTGACTGAGCAACAACCCTCAGCAGCTAGGATACACCTGGTAACCCATGCAGATAATCAGGCAACCATCAGCAGCAAACACAGTGCGAAGCAAACATTCCACATGTGCTTGAGAAACACATGATCCATAAAAAGCCCCGTTCCTAACAGTGGTGTGTCTAAGCTGGGCTTTGTCTTGTCAGAAAGTTTATAGAGAAGAGTCAGCTCAGCTAAGGGGGGCAGTGCCATCATAAAGAACAGCAGAATCACGGCAGACAAGTAACTTCTTGCATTATTTGATGGTGATGGGAACACTTACCTGACCAGCTCCAGCTGGAAGCATGGGAAGGATTTAATTGCTTGATTACTTTCAGCCACTGCTCTAAAACATTAGAACATACATGTTCTCAAAAACTGTATACTTCCTTGACCCAGACATTTTTCTGCACAGTTAGATCCTAATATATCTTCTATCTTGGTGATAAACCCCTGAAATTTAGTGACCTTTTAACTGGGCATTGCTACCTTTGCTGTGTTTTAGATAATGTGAATTGTTACATAAGCATTTGTTACAGAAAGGGCAGGAATAGAACATAGATGAATAGAACATAGGACGTCTGAACAGAAATGGTCTCTGCACAACTTGTTCCAAGCACGTGATCCATGACCCCTTAAACTAAGCAAGTTTTCTGATCAATTTCAGCAGGCTTTGGGTACAACCAAAACTCTTGCCATGAAAGTACCTAAAAAGATTTTAAATTAATCCGACACAGGCAACTATATCAAATGTCAGACTGAAACACAATTATAGCCATTGAGTGTCACCTTCATTCCATCTTTTAAACACATAGTGAGATACATCCTTATTAAAGGATCATATTATCCCTTCCTCTATATATCACCCCTCAACATCACCAGTTAATCCTTTGATATTGGCAATGGCAGTGTTTTCAAACAGCATCCTAAATCAATGGTGTCTCCCCATTAGAGTCAGGCTAAAAATCACACAACATCCCCAGCTAGCAGCAAAATAAGCTAAAGTTACACAGCAGCAACACAAAAACACACTGTCATAAAATTTACAGTCATCACAGGCACACCCCCAGGAAGGGGGATAAATATAATATTAAAGAACTGCTGTGTGATATGATAGCAAAAATAAGTCAAAGTTTGGGGAAGTTCTTTGGGAAAAGAGTAACACAATGACTTTATTTATAAGGATTTTATCAACAATAGCTATTGCCTACAGACAACTTTAAACATGAGCTGCTTTAAGTGCTGAATGTGAAACTGATTTTGCATTTCATTCACAGCCACATTTTTTCTGTGTAATTTCTATGTGTTCATATTTCGAATCATAACAGAACACTATTATTTGCTTGATGTCTCCGCAAATGTTTTTTAAGCTGAGAAGACACAGACTTCCAAGGTTTTATGATACTGTTTTTTAGTTATTTCTTATCTAGAAATATGAAAATTATGTATTTGCATTTCTTTGTGGTTTGTCAGAAGTACACCAAATTGCAGGAAAATAAAAGCAGGGGAAATCACCCAGCCACTGTACAATAAGGGACTAAACTGCATACTTCAGTGCACTCCTATGTTAGCAGAGAAATTCTGTATGAACTTGAAGTTTAAATATTGACTGGATAGTCATAAGCAAAGGGTTTGTAGGAAGCATCCTGTTCTGTTCACTTTATTGTGAGTGAAAAAAAGATCCCATAATTAATTTTACATGTCATTGAAATAAGAAGTACTTAGCTCTCTGTCAAGAATAGTCTGTGTTTTGTGTTTCATCACAGTCTAATCAACACTGGGGTCTTTTATCCAGTCCAGACAGGAGCTCACAACAGCTCCTGTACCAATAGTGAGTATACAATTGAAAATCATGGATTTGAATTATGGAGTTGTGAAGCCCCTTACCCACATCTACAGTTTTTTAACATCTTCTTCCAAACATATATGCCAGGAAAACTTATATATTGCTTCACCAACTACCCATCTCTTCAACAGCCAGCAGAAGCGAACACAACTTCTTCAGTCAACATGCAACATCTTCACACAGAACCTTTGCCCTGTGAAAGAATAGGGGTCCTCAGGCAGCACACAGTGCCTGGCAAAAAGGCGGCACCCTCGCCCCAGGGAAGCTGGGTTGAGGCAGGGTGTGACAGACATCTTGCCTGATGTCTCAGAAGGTGAGATTTAGGGGAGTTGAAGCTTATATGCTGCAGAACACAATGCCAACCAGACTGGCTCTAATCAAGTCAAAAGCCTGTGACAAACGTCAGCCTTGGTGGAGCGTTGGTTGGGATATATCACATTAAGACAGTGCTAAAGCATTAACCAAAGCAGATTCCACCCAAGCTGTGAGCAGTAAATGAACTGCCTGTGCAAGAACAAGCTCCTGAGCTTGGGGAGGTGCTGCAAGATAGGATGCTGTCTGAATATGCCTGCAAAATAACTGAGGGAGAATGATGGAGTGAGGGGGACATTTGCTGAACACTCACCAGTGCCACTGAGAGAGATGGAAAGAACACGGCCCGAGTAAGGCACACACATAAGAAAATACATGATTATTTTGAGCACTGTACAAATAAACAAGTCACAAACAGACTTTTCCCCAGCACAGCAGAGCCAGAAGGTGCTGTGCCTGTAGCATACCACAGACATTAACACTTTGTCTGCTGGATGTGAGTGGGTTGGTGCTCTGTCCTCTGGGCCGTGCTCCCACACTGGCCTTTGCTGCTGAGCTGACACTGCAGTTGCTCTGCTTAGAGCAAGACATCACTGGCAGCACCAAGCAGCACATCACAGCTCCAGGGTGTCTGAGGCACTGACATGTAGACAAGGAAGGACTAGAGAACAACAGCAAACTAACGACATCCTTCTTGCTGAGGAGTATGATTCTGCCAAGTTCTGAATTTCAGTAATTTATTAGGACAGCATTTTTAAAAAGGGCAGCTCTGCTTTTCCCTGCAGAAATAGCATTTGTTTATACCTCAGGGTCCTACTAACAGTCAGGGACCACCCATGAAAAACATAAGCCTGAGAATATTTCTGAGAAGCTCAAACATAAAATTACACATTATTTACACTGGTATTTTTGGTATCATCTGTCAACGGTTAACTGCAGAAGTTAATCCAAATAAAATGAGGATGCTGTTTTGTTAATTTGCTTACGAGAAGTAATTGCAGTGCAGTGGATTACTGGTTACTGACAGCACAACAAATCATCTTCTCAGAGGGAATTATCTCCTTAGGAAGGTAACAGGGTGTCATGCAGAGCTCAGAAAGAGGCAGCTTTGAGAAAAGAACTAAAAAGGACCATGGTGAGTCTGGTGACTCTCCTACAGCATCTCTTCGTAGCCAGCACAAGGTGCTTCAGAGGGAGCTGCAATAGTCCTTAAAATGGGTTTTGAATCACTCTAGTGCTGAAGAAGGACCTGTTTTAGCACAGGCAAGAGTGGTTCTGTAGACACCTGTTTCTGAGCAGTGAGCCACCACATAAAGATGGACAAGTGGGTGGGAGCAGCCACCTGCCAGTACAAAATGACACCTTTGGAACCTGCTTGAACCCAAAATTTCCCTATTCCCTCCTAGATTAGCATCATCCTGCTGCCCTGGGATTAACCTGGCTGATCAGCACTGTTTTTATTTGCTATAAAACAGCAAAACAGCTCAGATGTGCCCCCAGCTAGGATTTTATAGGATATGCAGAAAAGTCTCAAGAGGTTGTCAGTCTTCACTAGGTCATGGCTACCAGAATTACTCAAAAGAAGTGAGATTCATTTCACTTCACTGTACATATCTAAACGTTAATCATCTTTATCTAAGCAAGTCACCCTGGGCTCCCTTCTGACTCGGTGGAGAGAAATGGGCCCCTCCAAAAGGCAGCTCATTTCTTCTTCCCGTAGAGGATGCCTAAGATGGATGAGATGAGCTGCCTTCTGGAGGTGTCTATTTCTCTCCATTAGCTATACAGAGAGCCTGAGGTGATGTGCTTGCACTCTGATGATTAACTCACAATGTCAGAAGCTAAAGGCAGATGAATCCCACGTGCACTGCATCAGCATTTGAGCAGCCAGCCCTGCAGAGAGGAGGGATGGGGTTACAGAGCACACTGTTGATAGCCACTCTGGAGGCTCCTTCTAGCACTGCAGAGACATACCTGGTGACATGTCCAGTGACCACCTAGGAAAGAAATAGCAACCTGAATGCAAAGAATGGATCAGGAAAGGAGAAGGGCAATACCTTAAAGAAAGACAAGTGTGTGCAGATAGCAACCAGCCCACAGTTCCCTGCTGGATGTTTCCTGCCCAAACCATCATGGTTCAGCATGACCAGTTATATCTGAATGATCCAGAAGTGAAGCAAGGCAAACTGTGGTTAGCCCACAAGGTGGTCTCACACTACTTTTCCCCATTCATCCACAGTTCTGCCATGATGGAGTTTTGGTAGACTGAACAGATGCACGCACACATACCTGAATGCATATGAAGTCTTTTCTGAAAGGCAAGTTCCTTTCCATAGCAAGCTGAGTACTTGTCCCCGGTACCACTTTGTGGAAATTGAAGAGTCCTCTTATCACCACTCAGCGCTGGCCAGATAAGACACAAAACTCTCTTGAGTACCAGCCTGGTGCCATAATTACTGACTAATGCTGCCTCTGTAGCCTGTCACAAGAACAGTTTTTGGCAGTCATTTCAGCTCCTTTCACAGTCACATGAAATTAATTTAATTAGTTTTTAAAATCTAAAGAATAATGGGATTTAATTGACTTAATGTGAAACTTTCTGGGCTGTCACTCCACCCAGCTTCCGATCAACTTGAAATCATTCAGCTGTGAGTGACTGATGTTTGTGCCTTTCATTGAGAACACTTTGTCTCAGTTAAAATCCTTCCTTCCATGCTTAATTTTTGCATAACATTGCTTTTGTTTTTCAGTCTGTGTTTTCATTGTCTGGTACCCTGGATGAAGGGTGGGGCTGATGCAGCCACCTCCTGCTCCTGGAAGTTTGTTTTACCAGTAGCTGCAGTATGTTAGGGGAAGATGGGTGAGATGTAGAGTTGCTGCCTGGGACACACATCAGAAAGGGGTGAGACAGCAGCAAATGGTTTTATACAACCATGCACATATCTAAATAAATACTGTTGATGGCCCTGCTGAAGATTATGGCCCTATTATGGCTGATGTATGAACACATGTCAGTCTTACTATCCTCCTCTAATGCCCAAACAGAAGTAAGAAAGTCTATGGGATGTCTGAGACAGAAATTTTATTCGGCACTGATGACCATAAAAAATGCTCATTCAGTTGTTCAAAATTTGAGAAGCATATTAGCACGTCATTAATGAGATCCAGAGATTAATCTTTATGTATGCCATCTTCCACTCTCATTTTAGGTCATGGTGGTCTCCAGCAGTCTTGAACACACTTCACCAGAAAGCACCAGGACAGATCTCTTTAATTTTTCTGTCCCTTTGTTAAAGTGGGAGAGAGAGACAGGAACAGAGGGTTAGTGACTAGATATCTTAAACCAACACCCTACATTAAAGCACAAGTTTCTAAAGCTGTGCATAATAATACCAGTTCTGATTAGTGACAGCCTCATTAGAACAAAGTAGAGGTTCTTTTACTTCCATTCTTCACTTCTTGCTTTCCTTGTATCCCATGCATCCCTCCTTTCTTAGAAAAAGAGAAGCTTTTTAAGACTCTCCTGTGGGAGTTTTATCCAAATTATTTGGTATGTGGGGAAACTTCCATCCTACCTATTTTGGTAGAAAATATAGTATCAAAGCTGCATTTGACAAAGTTAACATTAGTACAAGAAATTATGTCATTCTCAGAGGGAACAACTACTTGATTTTTAATCATTGATGGCCTCTAAACTCTCTCTATGGTACCTCCATAGGGTGTCTATCACTGTACAGTGTATACATTTCAAAACTGAGCGACTCCGCTCCCACGTGCTCAGACAGCGTGAACGCTGGGACAATCCCAAAACACTCTCGCAAGTCGGCATGGTTCTCACTCCAGCCCCCCTGCTCCAGGAGCGCATCTCCGGCATCGGTCAGCACCGGCTGCTCAGGGGCGGACTGCAAAGAGCGAGCAAAACCCGAGCAGGCTCTCCGGGTTCCCAGACAGTGCCCGCATCAGGTACCAGCCCTCGGAAGCGCTGTCCGCCGACACACCTCTCTCCTTGCGGCTGCCCGCACCAGGCGGGCTGAGCTCCATCGGGAGCGGGCTGAGCTCCATCGCGAGCGGGCTGAGCTCCATCGGGAGCGGGCTGAGCTCCATCGGGAGCGGGCTGAGCTCCGGCCGGGAGCGGGCTGAGCTCCATCGGGAGCGGGCTGAGCTCCGGCCGGGAGCGGGNCGGGGAGGCGGCGGAGCTCGGCCCCCTCCCCGCGGCGGAGACCCCCGGCAAGGGCAGGAGGAGCCGCAGCTGCCGGAGCTCAGGTGAGCGCCCGGGGCTGGGGGCGGCGGGAGGAGGAACGGGAGCGGGCGGGGGTCGTAGGGAGCGGGCGGGGCGCCTCGTCTGGCAGCCCCCGCTGCTGCCTCGAGGGGACCGGCTGCGAGGGGGAGCCCCGCTAGCACAGCGGCGGGAGGACAGCGGGATGCTGCCCTACGGTTTCTCTGTGAACCGCGAAGTTTTCCTTCGTGAGCTTTGAGGCGGGATCCCGGAGAGCTCCTTGGGGGCTGCGGGGCTCTGCCCAGGGCTGTGGTACCGTGGGAAGCTCGGAGAGGAGGTGAGCGGAGGGCGCACCCCACCCAGCGCGGCTTCCCCGCGGAGCCCGGTGCTGCCGTGGTCCCGGTAAAGCAGCGTGCTCTCCGGGGTTGTTCGGGCATCCCCAGGCTCTACTCGCTGTGCTGTGAGGTCCTCTCTAAAGCACCTCTCAGTCGGTAAAAAGGTCGATGCTCTCCCCTTGCTTTCTCACACGTGAACGGGGGCTGAACGGTGAAATGATGCACAGGATGTGAAAATAGTTATTCTCAGTACTGTACAAGGTAGACTGTATTCCTCGCTTCAGGAATGGACCTCCGGGGGCGTGAAATGCAGGTGTTGAACTGCCCATCTACCTGATAGTCCTTGTAACTCAAAACGAGCAGCAGGTGGAATCAGACCTTCACTTAGCTACAGGCTGTTCGGTCCTTCAGTATCTGGAGAGATGGCGAGCAGAGAAGAGGGCTACTTCATTTCATTGTTAACCAACCTTCCACTTCAAGAGTGGGTCCACAGTGACTAAATAACATGCATAAGGCATTTAATCTGTGTCTAGTTATTTCCTGGTGGCTGGGAATCTTACAGAAAAAAAAAAAATCTTAATTTTTTTTTTGTTTTTAAAAACGTTCAGTTTCAAAGGATTGGAATTGCCATGAGATCATACATTCAAAAAAACTGTGGCTGTAAGTTAAAAAATAAAAAGGAAAAGGAAAAACCTACCAAATCTGCACCTGTAACGATGCACTACTTTCCCATAGAGAGATATGTTAAAACAGCATCGGCCCAGCAAAGTGCTTGTTAAACTCAAGTGAGGGCTTACGTACCATGAGCTTCAGTGGAATTACTCAGAAGCTAAAGCTGAAGGCAAACGTGCTTCCGTGGTTCCCCAAACCAGGGCTTAAGTACTGTTCATTGAAGTATTCAGTTGCATGAATCACAGTCATTCAAAAGTTCAAGGCAGACCAAATCAGGGAAAACGTGGACTGAACAGCATTGTCAGCCTCTCTGCACAAGAACTAGGTAATCACCAGCCCTGTGGATTTTCCCCAGGGTTTTTAGGAGGTCTCTAAGTATAGAGTGAGCTGTTTTTGACTGTCTTGAAATGCGGATTGCAATCTGCTAAGAGCCAGTAGCCCTCTGTGATCATGGATTGGCTTCAGCCCACCTTTGCATTTCAGTCATCTCTCAAACTTTGGGACTTGGGAGGGCACCTCTCATGCAATCTGCCCAATTTAAAAAGTACAAGCACACAGAAAATCTCTTATTTGTTAAAACTATGATCTCCAATTCATTTATAAGCACCAAAAGCATAGATTGTCAGACACCAAATACACAGACGATTTTCAGGAACCAGAGCACTTGCTAACATGAAAAAAGGACAACATCATGTAGTTAAGGTGTCCAAAGAGTAGAATTTACTTCTAAATAGCTTGGTTCTTCTGCAAGGTACTCTTGGATTCCTATGAAATTAGAGAAACTTGTACTTGACTGTTCCCTGTTTTGGTTTTGCTGTTCTGAGCTTTAACCTGTTCCTGTTGATAATGTGCCTTTGTTGTTATTGGGGGCAGTTTTTGGAGTTCTTTTTCTGTAAAACCCTTCACCCTGCTTGGTGAAGCAGCTTCACCAAGTGGCCGCCTAAAGACAGTGGATGTTAGCTTTCAAACTCATATTTCCCTGCTGATTTCTGCTGAAACCCTGGTGCCCCTTGCTGGCAATTGCATTAGTTAGTAAAGAGGGCAATTGCATTAGTTAGTAAAGAGGAAACTAGCAGCAGCTCCTTTTCTGGCTGAGGGGTTTGGATTTAACATAACCTCCCTGTAAGAATGATATGTTTAAGACATAAGGATCTCTTCCAGGACACAAAGGAAGCTGCCTCATATATTAAAGAGGGAGAAAATACAATCTCAAGGCAAACAGCAAGAAAAGCTTTAAATCTGTTGAAAGCTATTCGGAGAGTTGCTGGTCAAACATGTGGAGTACACCAGGAGAAAGAAAAAGGTCATCAGGCCAAACTCATCTCCATCTAATTACATTAAGTCTGTCAGGCTAATCCCTGGCACAACTTGACTGAAAATATTTCTCTGGATCTCCTTTTTAAAGTGACTAGTGTATTAAAAAGGCAAGCACCTTTTTCTTCACATGCTCATGTAAATATGTGTGTTTATGAACAGCCCTCTCAAAAGCATTTGGCCTGTGTAAAATGAAACACCTGCCCAAGATTTTACTTCTGCAAACAGCTGGTGGATTAACCCTTCTAAACCTTTTTATACAGATAATTTTGTGCTTTGTGACAGTCCTGGCAGTAATAAATGTGGGGTCTGTGGAGGTCACTGTGGTGGGAAGTTCAGTGGGTGCAGATGAGGTCAGAATTTGAGTGTAGCTGGAGTGAAGTAGAGATGTGATCTGCAGAAGTGAGTTCAGGAAGGCCAGGTAGGGAGCATCATGCTGAGCTGGGAATAATCTGCTGCACAAATATATGGGAAGCAACTTGCCTGGTAGCACTTCTACCAGTAAAAAAGCACTGCTGAGATAAAGCCAGACCTTTCACAGTGCCACATAAAGAGGATTGCATCCTACAAAATATGTGGTGGGATTTGGTCCTACAGCTCGATGTAGGTGGGGTCTTGGTTAAAGGAGTTTACTATCTGGGACACAGCTGTGTATTGCCTGGTGAGGGTGAAGGGAAGGGCTTAAAAACATGGCCTGGGGGAAATTAATCAGGCTCTTTAACCTCAAGACTGAACTGAAGCAGGATGTGCTTGTAGCCTCCAGATTTACAAGTCTGGTCCAAAAGGCAGGGAGCACC